CAGTCCAGAGGTGCTGGGACTCTGCGCCAGCACCGCCTTGGTGTGGGTGATCATCGAGGTGTTGGTGATGCTGCTCAGTTTGTACTTGCTGACGGTACACAGCGACCTGTCTACTTTTGACCTCATCGCCTACAGTGGATACAAATATGTCGGGTAAATATTCTAGAAGTGCTTGACAATTAATGTGTATCTTCAAGGGTTCCTCGGTTGACATCGGAGTTCCGTTTCTACGTTGGCAGTTAATGATGAACCCGTTTACAGAACGGTATACTGATGAACCGTAAAAACCCAGACCTATTTCTGCAATATGCAATGCATTTTTTAATTTACGATTAGATTTACATTATTTGGTGTCAAAAATCTGTAATGTTATATATTGTCGCTGTCCTGTGAAAAACACGGATTTCCATTTTTGTCATTTTTTTTAAAATGATGCGCGAAAATAAACTTTGGTTGTTGGCATTTACAATTTCTAATGCCAGAAAGTAAGTAGGATTGCTGTTTTAGCATCTCTGAGTAGTTATCTAATTTTGTTTACTTACATTTCTTTCAGTAATGTGATAAGACCACTTATTGGTGGTCATATTTGCTGTATGAAATTTTGACATCGTTCAATCGCTAAGCAGCTCGGAAAGAAGTAAGTAAGCAGTTGTTTTGAACGCATTACTTGGCGACAAAAATGAAACAACAAAATAAAATAAAAAATCTTGAGTATGGTGGTCAGCGAGCGTGCATTCTTGTGCAGCATAACCACACACATTTTTTTCACCGCCCAGCAAACTAGTCCCATATCGTACCGTTGGTAACCTCAAAAGGGTTTGTCAATATCGTCATCAACCGTGGACTCCCTGTGGCGAGCTATTGGCTGCTAAATGTCGATGTTCTTTCTCCAGGATGATCTTCACCGTGCTATGCGGCTTGCTGTTCGGCAGCGACGGCTACTTTGTGGCGCTTGCGTGGTCCTCTTGTGCCCTTATGTTCTTCATTGTAAGCATTTAGTCTTACCAAGTACAAATGTAGTGGTACCTTGACTTACAAGTGCTACAACCCCCAATCCTTTGCTGTTTAAAAAAAATGTTATCTGTGCTTTTGATGCGAGATAAGATTAGATGAGGTACAAGTGAGGTCAAGATATGGTGCTCCTCAAGTGGTAAGATCATGGGCCAATGAAGGTACTCTAATGCCGTCACACGTGGGCAAGGAGAGTTGCCGTTGTATTTGTTGACGGCTCACCTGGTTTCTAGGTTTGTAACGTGACGTTGGCAATGCGAGCCTGAAGGCACTTTTATGTCAGTTTCAGCCGACAGCTGAGGATGTGACAGCACAAATTGGCTGAGCCTTGACATTGATGGCAACGGATGGATGAATCTGCTTAATTCGTATTCCACAAACACAATATTAATAGAAAACTATGTTTAGCGGCGCGGGGACGTAAAGAATATATTGTTGCGAAGAAGCGTTTTGCTATGGGATCCCCTTTAAGTCAAGGTGCCACTGTAGTCAGTACTTTCCATCCTGGTGGTGTACCTAATAAATCGGGAGTATCATCTCACTGTGAAATGTGTGCAGGTGCGTTCCCTGAAAATGAAGATCCTGACGTCACTGACGTCGGACTCCATGTCCACCAGCTCCAGCGCCAAACCCCAAATGCGCATGTACATCACCATGGCGACCGCCCTCTTTCAGCCCGTCATCATTTACTGGTTAACCTCTCACCTGGTCAGGTGACTGTGAGGCGTTCATGTGAGCTGGCGCCTTCCAAGTGCTTTGGCGCGCGTGGCCGTGCGCTCGCCTTCTTCTCCACATGCGCAGTTTTGTCCCTCCACGCGCGCGCGGTGTTGAGCTATCAAAAAGGTTGTAAAAAGGAAATTGTGTACTTGAGTTAACCAAATTGTATGAAACGTATACAAAAAAATTTGATTGTGCAGTGATTTTGACAAAGGTTCATTTTCTGCCATCTTACCTTTTTTTTAAAAAAAAAACAAAACAAGGGCTGCCAAATCCAGAGCTTGGTTTCATCATTGGATTCAACCAATTTCCTTTATTAAAAGTAAAAGCCATTTCCATCATTTATTACCTATCCTTAATGTCCAGCTTCAGCACCATGTGCCACTACTCTTTGTCCTCACTTGTAACACAATTCAGTGCACTTGTAGAATGACTATGGCGCTTAAGTGGAGTGACCGTCTCACTAGATTTTTTTTTAACCCCCACTGGTGCCAAATTTGGCCAACTCATTCATAATCGAATCTAACTAGTAGGGTTAGCAGTGCTGTACCATATGTGAACTTGTGCACTGTGTTGCCTCACGAATGACATCGTTTAACTATTAGTATGCCAGAGTTGTCATAGTAGTGGGGAGAAATGTCACTTAGTAGTGTGTGTGTGTGTGTGTGGGGAGGGGGGGTGGTGACATTACTATGAAGACAGTCGTTCTACCAGTGTGCTGAATTACCAGAGAGGATAAAGGGCATAACAGTCGATGGACCTTAAACCTGGATTTTAAGGATATGCAATAAATAAACGGTTTTAAGGAAAGCCATTTTTGCATTCATTTATAACATCCTTCATGAGGAGGCTACTAGTGCATGAAGCATACCTACTCGTCGAGCCTAATTGTGTTCCTGGAAATGCACAATAGTTAACTAGTAAATTTTAATTACAGACTAGTTATCCAAAAGTGATACCGTGTCCTGGACCATGTATTAGTTTATGTCATAAATGCTGAATATGCTTTCCATAAACAACTTGGTTATAACGTCACCATCATTTCAAAATCTGGATTTTTATTTATCTGAAATATATCAAAGCATGACACTGTTTGGATTTTCGTAGGAAAGAAAATAAATCTATTCAGCTTTGTGTATTCAATTGCAGGCCCCTGTTGACTCTTGTTTGTTCGTTGGTTCTATAATGAAATGCTGACTGCCAGTTGGAGAGGTTTGTCACTTTTTGTTTTTCCTCTACTCAAAGTATTGCTTTGGCACCATCTTGTGGCATCTTGGGCTCAAGGAATTAGCTTGGTAAGTAAAGGAGCTTCGTGTAGTGCTTTGCTGCCATCTTGTGGTATCTATCGACATTACATTAAAAATCATTTTTCAATTACGCGTGGATTTCTTTTCCCTCAAACAGAATCATCGCCCTAATTACAAAACTATTCGAAGTTGGTGTGATAATGGTGTTAACACATCCTTTTATCAATTGTCTATCCTGCTCGTAAGGATCACGAGTTAACCTATCCCAGCTGACTATGGATAAGAAATAGAGTACTGATAGAGCAGGGGTGTCCAAAGTAAGATACGTCAAAGATGTGCCTTAAGGCATTTAGTTATTTATGTATTTATTTATTGATAGGGCTTTTCTCGAAAAGCAAAGGCGCTGAAAAAAAAATCATTTGTAATTGAACAATCGAATTCTCCGTTCAGAATATCTCGCTCGTGACTGTAATAAATTGCGATGAGTTCTCATCCGCCAGCAGAGTGGCGCAGCGGAAGCGTGCTGGGCCCATAACCCAGAGGTCGATGGATCGAAACCATCCTCTGCTAATTGGACAAATGAGAGTCTGATTTTGTTTTTTCAAGGCCGATAACAATTATTACTGGTGAACAAGCCAAAAACCAGCATTTGTTTGCCGTAAAAGGGAAAATGTTAGCGTCAAATTTTTGAATTATACACTCCAACACTTGACTTCATTTAAATGCCTTTAAGAACATTCTTGTTCAAGAGTGTTTCAGATTTATAACATGTTTCCATTTTTTCCAATCTCAGAAAGTAAGAAAATAAAGCTGATTTTTTAAATTATTATTAGTCGAACAAAAAGTACAGAGATCTCCCAAGCTCATCATATGCATATCTTATAAGTTAAATGAAAACGTGTTTTCGACAATAAAGTTCACAAATTTTCAAGTTGAAATTTTAATCTTTCACTTATCACTCATTAAAAAGTGCATCCTCAACCCTGCTACTGGCCTGCGGGTCACTAGTGTCTGGTGCCAGCAGAGAACTTAATATCCCAAATAACATTTGAGAACATCAGTTTTTAATTCGTTTTTCGGCTGTCAGATTAAAAAAAAACGTCGATTTCAAAATTCAATACAGTAAATCTTTATTTATAGAGCGCTTTGACAACAGCCCGTGGTTAAAATTGTGTCCTCCCACCGTAGGCATCCTGGTTCTTCCGACGTGTTCAGCGTGATTCTTTCAAGATTGTCAGCTAGTAAACTCATCTTTATTTCCACCACTAGTGCCACTACTTAACACAGGGGTCCCCAACCGCCGGTCCGCGGACCGGTACCGGTCCGCCGGGCATTTGGTACCGGGCCGCACAGAAAGAACTTGCCTTAATTCCGTTTTATTTATTTCGGAATACGAAAGATGTTTTATTTTGAAAACTTACCGGATTCTCCGTTACATCCGTCTGTGTCTAGCTTGACACACGTCAAGCCACGCTTCTCCGTAACGCGACCAATTAGGCTAAAAACAAACACCGGAGCTCGCAAAATGAGTAAAAAAACTGCTGGAGATCGCAAATGACGGCGGCCTTAAAAGTACGTTCGCGGGGGGGATTATGCAGCAACCGCGACGAAAACAAAATTACGAAGTAGACTGGACATAAACCACACACTTGCGGTGTCATTGTCTCTCCTATTACCCCGAGATGGGACCGTCTGGTTGCAGAAAATCAAGCTCGGTGCTGTGGTGAGTCGTCATTTTCATGCACTTTGAATTTGCGTTGTGTCGTATTTTGAAGGCATTAAACATTGCCATAGCGTTGCGGCCAGATTAGACGCTCCTTGTGTTTATTATTATATTTCGAAAACACCACAGTTTTCATGCAGCTCATACCATATTATTTTGTTGTATTATTTCCGCCACACCTTAAATGCCGGTCCCTGAAAATATTGTCTGACATAAACCGGTCCGTGGGGCAAAAAAGGTTGGGGACCCCTGACTTAACACAATTAAACCTTGCCAGCACTGTAATCTACTGCCGCACTGGTATACTTAGTCCTTACAATTCAGCACACTAGTTGCGTTTCGAATGATAACGTGCGCACAGTTTTGCCTCACTAATCCGTAGTTGTCCTCCTATAAGAACAAAGAGCGTACTAGTTAGTGCACGGCCCTGAAGCTGGCGAAAGTGGACTGTATCATGTTCCAGTGTTTAGTGACGCTGAGCGCTGTAAGCGGGAGCGCGCACGTCTGTCGGCCGGGAACCCGCCGGCTGCAAAGCGTCCTTTTCGGTTCCCGTGGCAACCCAAACCACAAGTCAACGCACACGGAACGAGAAAGGGAGAGCGACAGAGGGGTTGCGGTTCAAAGTTTCGGGTCTCCTAAATCCACCTTGAACCCTGACAAAGACGAATCTTGACGGGCCGCAAGGGTGAGTCTCAAGTTTAATTTCATTTTATTCGCACACACGAATAGATCAAAGTGAACAATTAGGAGCCAGTGGCTCACCCGAGAGCAAAAGGGCGGCTTCAAATTCTTGACTACACAGAGAGGACTGAAACTTAAGATCTCGGCGCCATTTGCCATTTGAACCGCTTTGTGCCTTGAAGGCGCGCAGTGCGTATGCGCGCACACAACCACACGCACTCGAGCACGACCGCGTCATGTTGAGTGAGTCCTGAAGCTGTACCATGTTGCCTGCCATGATCACACAATGGACTTTGAACGTTCGAATGGATGCACATCATAGTTGAGGCTTAAGCAAATGGATAACTGCCTAACTTTCTTGAGACAAGGTACAGGATTTGCATGAGAAAAATGAAAGCTATGAAGTGGCCAAAAAGTCCCATCTCCAGACCTCAACCCAATAGAAAATGCACCTTTTAAAATTTGTATGCACACGTTTTAAGTTTGAGATTCTATAGTGTCTATCGATTACATTAAATAGATGGAACTTAAACTTCCTGCCTTCCTGTATTTGATAAGGGTGAGTTTGGCCAACTCAATTGTCATATCGATGGAAGTACTAAGTTTGCGTTAGAGCTGCATAAATACAATGGAAACCTGCCCCAAGTTTGCGTTCATCCAATTTTGCCCTGAATGAGAAAAGTGGCTTTTTCCCAAGCCCATTCTTTTCTTTACGCATCAATATTTAAAAAAATACCGCCCCGCCCCCCCCCCCAAAAAAAATAAACAACAACAGCTGATCTCAAAACACGTGCTGCTGTTTTGAGATCAGCTGGGTATTATTTGGGTTCTTGTAAGTAGTGTGTCCCTCATTCCAGAGAGCACACAAGCCCCCATTATTCAAATAGGGGTGTGTAGACTTTTTATATCCATCGTTTCGAAACAAGTTTGGTGACTGTTGATTTTGTTCACAGAAATGAGCATCAATTTTTTTTTTCCCCAAGATGGTGCCCGAGTAGGCAGCCGTCGGCAAGTGCTATTCAAGAGCCTTGCTTTTTTGTTGTTTTTTTGTTGTTTTTGAGTTTTGTTTTGTCACATGGTGTTACGTTGTGTGGACCTGGTGCAGATTGTTTTCAGCATTTTTTGGCCACGACATTCGTCAAAAGAGAAGAATCTGAATTTGGTGGGTGCGCTTTCTCAGCAGCACGCGTGTACCAGCACTGATTTTGATTGGGAGGAATGTCGGCGTCATCTGACTGTCGTTGCTGGACAGCCCCGGAGCGCTTGTGTTTTTGCGCCTGAAATGGGCAGCATTTTTCACAGCCCCGCTTTGTTCAGCGGTGCTGTTGGACAGTCTGTGGCTGGATGGATGGATGACCTGTGGTGCCAACGATGAGAAGAAAGGGGCGTCAGCGCAGAGCGCCGATGCGTGTGTGGAAATGGGAGTCGCGGCTTGGAATTGAAGCGGATTTACATGGGACAGAAGATGTGAGCCAATCTCTTTTTTGTCACCGGACACTACAGCTTCTTGTTGCTTTCAAACTTAGCTTGTAGCAGACATGTGCACATTTTCAGCATGACGTCTTTGATCCACTGGTGAAAAGGACACTTTGAATCGCTCCACTTTCATCTATAACTGCTTCAAACAACAAAGTGTATGCAGAAAAAGTAGTTGAGATTGCACGACTGTCTGTGTCTTATATGTTGTGTTGTATTATTTTGTCATGTTATGTTAACTGTTCTTTTGATGGTGGCGCGGGCACCCGCAGCGGCTCCTCTCTCTCCTGTGCTTCAGAGGAAAGAAATTTCATCTGTGCTGCATGTTGCACATGTAGCACATTTGACAATAAAGTTGACTTGAACTTGAATTTGAATTGAAGTTGATCTACACACACTTTTTTTTAATTGTGTGAATACATTTGGTGGTAGGAGCAACTTGTTTGGTTTTGAGTTGCATGTTTAAACGTGAGGTATGAGCGCTGTATGATCCAGGTGACTCAACTCCACAACAAGTGGCAATTTGGGAGATAGAATGAATCAATATTCTTTAAAAACAAACAAAAAAAAGCTTCAAACTGTGTATTACCACTACTGTACTGTCAAACTAAACATGAAAAGGTGATTTACATATTGTGTATTCAAAGCAATGACATAGCGTCTATGACCTGAATGCTAACATACAACGGGACACTCCATAGGCACACAGTCTAGCGATGAGCACCTTTGTTTATAATCGGGTGATTTATACAGTAATGATTAATTCATGTGGGTAGTTGTTTTACAGAAATTTTAGTGATTGTAATGATACTTTTATTCACAATTGAGTTACCATCAGCGTCTTGACTTTCATAGGTTGGATCACGGAGGTTGCTGTAACCCTTGTGCTGCAATTTCTACAATGTTTGTAACACATGGGTTACCCCATATGTTACAATTTCTACAATTTTTGTAGATTTATGCGTATTGTCATCTTTAAATCAAAGACACAGCATAAAAAGTGTGTGATATGAAATATTCCAATTCATGTTTTATTTATATAGATTTATATTTATGTTTTGGTCATAGCACAATACCGCTTTTATTGTCCATAGAGGGCAAAAATACAAAGAAAAAAATAAGAACTATATGTGTATGTATAGCACTGATGCCACTGAACATGTCGAGTGGTTGAAAGTGAAATAAATATTCAGGAATAATACTTTTACAATTTTTGTAAAATTGTATGTTGCGTTATATAAACTTATTTAGATCGACTGCGGCACATAGGTTAAAGAAGCAAACTGGGATAAGGGATGAAAAAAAAAGGATACCATAATGGTCTAAGTTTAGTGATTTCAAATTTTAATGGCTGCAATAGTGGTCTAAGTCCAAACAGTCATTAAATCTATCAATAGTTCGTAGTGCTGTAGTTGACAAATCATATTCACTTCCGAGGATGCAGATGGACTCGCTACACTACTCACGTTTTGAGACTTTTAATAATCTCTTAATTTCACTTGAGGAACGCTGGGGTGGTGGCCCAGTATTGCACTGATGAATCAGGAAAAGGGCTGAGAGCATTTTTTTTGTTGTTATCAGCGGCTCAATTCTTGGTGTTTTTGTTTTGTTTTTTTGCAGAAGTGAATGATGGAGAACCTATGCCACACCCTAGCGCCGTTGTCCCCGTGTTCCGCCGCTTTCGGGGGGCCCTTATCTCCCTCTTGTCACATGACCTCCCTTCCCCTGTCGCCCATCTCCTTCCCTCCGTCGCCGACCATGGCTGAGTCCCTCCCATCTTCCTCCTCATCTTCCTCCGCTTCCTCCTCCTCATGCTCTCCCCTTTCAAACTGCATGGCGTCCCAACACCTGGAGGGTCCCCTGAACACGTGGGCCCAGGACGACCTGACGTGCCTCAGTTGGCTGCACCAAAGGGGCAACCTTCTCCCACTCCAGCCACTCCCCAAAGCCACCCGACCTCAGCCCAGAGGAGAGTCCGGACGGGATCCTGCCTCGACCAAGCCACCGTACTCTTTCAGCAGCCTGATTTTCATGGCCATAGAGGAGTCGGTGGACAAGAGGCTGCCGGTAAAGGACATCTACAGCTGGATCGTGGACAAGTTCCCCTACTACAGGACAGCCAGCGCGGGATGGAGGAACTCGGTTCGGCACAATCTGTCTTTGAGCAAGAGCTTCTGCCGCATGGAGAGGGAAAAAAGTCAGGTGGGTGCATAGCATTCACACCCACAAAGTCACTTCCTACCAACAGAACTGAATCTAATGTGTTTTAAGGCACACTGTCTCAAGTCATCTTTTCCCATCTAAATAAATTGAAGTAATTTATTTACTGACTTAATTAAAAAAGCTTTTGATGTTAAAAAAAAAAAAACAATATCAATATCAACCTGTGAGAAGAAATATTCCAGATCCGTGGTTAAAAAACTACTTAGAAAATAGAACATTTGTTGAGATAAACCAAAAACAGAATTATATGACATCAATTAGGGAGTGCCACAGGGGTCAATTCTTGGACCCAAACTGTTAACTATCCTGCTGATGATTAAAAAAATGATTTTGATCTGTATCAACTATAGAACAAGTAATACTGCGGCTAATTAAGATTTTGATTTATATGAGTTAATGAAGAATGATTTATCATAAATAATGAATGGGATGGAAACCCAATTATTTTCTTGGAATCAAGGTGGACAAATAGCTTATTTGGAAGTCACATATGAATTACACAAAGGAAAAATATCGAAAAGCTTTTACAGTGTTAACAAATTTACATGAAAAAAGATTGTTCCATTCCTGGCCTACTGTGCAGAATTTGAGGATCAACATGCAAAACTTATATTCAACCTATATTTTACAGAAAATAGCTTTGAAATGCAAAGAGTCAACATAAAGATCCTGCTAACCAGGGGTGTGGTGGCCAACAGTAATATTGGGAGAACGCCTGTGCGGCCAGTCCATTCCACAGAATGCATTGCAAATTATTTTGATTTTGATTGTGGTGATACAGTATATTGATATGGAAAAAATCCCAAACTCTTACAGCATCGCTTTGGTTGTTTCAGTCGGTGGGGAAAGGATCTCTGTGGCGCGTGAATCCAGAGCATCGAGCGGCACTGCTAGAAGTTCTTCGGAAGACGCACGCCTACCACAGCAACAGCACCAGCCTCATAAACCAACCTGCCCTGTATAAGACCAATCACGCTTATTTTCTATTTCATCATGAAGTACTCACATTTAGTCTGTCACATTTGTTGAATTAATCTGTGGTAGAAATTGAACCGCTGTGAACATAAGTGAGCTAACTCCATTCGCGTTACTTTTTTCAGGATCATCAAGGTTGCCAGAACATCAAATCTATCAACATTTTGTGAAACATGAAAAATGACATTTACTTATAATAACATACAGATGCACTGGCACCCAAGCTAAAGTACTAATTACTTTCTCAGCTGTTTTCATCATTGAAATGGGAGTTGGCCCGGTGTTGCACTGATGACTCAGGAAAAAATGCTGAGAGCCCCTACATGTCAAAACTGGGACTAAACCTTAATTTCGACCCATTATTTGTAAAAAGTGTCTAATACAGGCTTACTCTACTTGTATTTGGAGAAAAAAAAACACCTGAATTAAAATGATAACTGTGTTAGTGTCTTAAACTATTTGTTAAAGTAAAATACATTTGTTGAATCCATTTCAGTTCTATTTAACAGAGTAGTTTCGAATATACATTTTTCTGTCAAAGTGCAGTGTTTAGGTTCTGTTACAGTGGCATTCATATTACAGTGGCTTATGGTAATACTTTAAATATATTTTAAATATGTTTTTTATGGTGGTGGGATGTGATTTTTAGTTTGAGAACCTCTGAAGGTCATTCCATCTATCAATTTTGTGATCAGCTTGTCCTCACGAATGTCGCGGGTGAAGGTCATTCCTTTTCTGCAATTAACTTGAAAGTGACAAAATGGTCTTCGCCCACTCTTGTTCTCAGCGGCTCAACCGCACTTGTTAGAGTAGTTTTAATGCAAAAATAATTTTTACATTTACTTGAGTAGTTTTATTTTTAAAAAACTACTTTTTCCATTCATTCTCTTGATGAGTTGAGTCATTATTTGGAGGATTACTTCTTATTTTTACTTCACTTCTATTATTTTAAATTAATGGTATTCCTGCTGAGTACAATTTATGGCCCATCTCTGAGTTAATATGAGTAACTATCCCCATTGTTGGACTTTGAGCTGATGTGTTTTTAATTTGATTCCAGGTTGGAAGGCGTGGACTATGGCGTGTCTGTAGTGTGTGACTCCATGGAAATGTCAGGTTAGTACACGGAAGGCTGGGCTGATTAGGTTGACGCGGCAACAAATGGAGGCTTAAATCTGATTGGACAAAACATGAACATACAGTGGCAAAAGAAAGACTTGGAAATGAATAAAGGAATATTATTTCATGAAACAAACAATCTGAATACAAGTTGTAAATGTAGTTTAGAGCTTCTGATAATATTTCTGCCTTGCTAGTCCTGCCCGCCCACCACTGGTAATGAGTAAATTTAAACCCAGTCACCCGCCTGCAAGCCTTTATGAATTTGAGCCTATAGGATATTTCATCAGCGGTGTAACAGCGCTCACTGTCACTTTTACTGCTGCAGCCATTCAGCCTCTCGCCGACGTTCCCCGCATGCGACATTGTTACTGTGTTTGCCTTCTGTCGCCATGGTGACAACCTTCTATTTCCGTGGTAACGCGCCAATAGCCTCCTTAATGTGGCCCGCCTTTTACACGCGGGCCTCTATATGTGCTCATCAGGAGCTTGATTACAACGGATTTCCACTTTTTTTTTCTCTTTGAGATGTGCCTCTCGTGGTCAAGTTTAGTGAGAACATCAAGTGTCGTTTGAAAAAATATCAATTTCATTTAATTGCACCGGAATCTTTGATTTTGGGTACCTAGCCATTATTTGTGTAATAGAAAAGTATTGCTTTGGCGCCATCTTGTGGTATTCTGGTGTCAAGGCACTATGATCATGTTCGCGGTTTGACATTCACATACAGTACAGTTGAGCATTTTGTCCACCGCAGATTGTCTCCCTCACACACTGATGCTGTCCGCCCCATCGCCCAACACCCCCAGCGGAGATAATCCTGCTTTCTCCGAACACCCGGATTTCCCCTTGACCCCAGAGCATGAGGAGCTAGTGGCCATCGAGCCGGTGGAATACCAAGCGGAGGATCTGAGCGGGGACTTGAACAAAGACCCACTGGCCGACAGCGGCTACATCGAGCTGCACTACTACCAGTCTCCCGAGTACCAGTACCTGGTCTTACCCGATGACACGGAGTTGGACCTGGAGACGGTGGAGATCCTACAGCTGGACACTGAGGCACAGGAGGCAGCTGGTTCGCTGCTGGATTTAGCGGGGAGGGGATGTTAAGAGCCTTTTTGGTCATCACTGTATCCTTGTCGGCGCCAACGTCACTGCCCAATGATTGCAAAACTTGTATTTTTTTTTAAATATAGTCTAGAACCTTATCACTTGTGTTCAAGCACTTGCCCAATCGTACATCATGTAGACAAAAGTTTTGGGACACTTGCTAGCCAGTGTTTGCCAGGCACCAAACTTTTATTCCGTATCCTTGATCCGGACTCTACATGTGCGTGACATATGCCTACTAGTTCAGTAGTTTTACTAGAGAAAACAATAGTTTACTAGTAAGGTTTAATTGCATACGAGTAGGCCAAAAGTGACACTTGTAGTGGAAAAGCACCTCTAATGCTGTTGGACTATTTATTCAATATCCTTGATCAGGACTTGACTGGTTCGTGACAAATACCTACCTATTTGTAGGCACCATAATCTAGTATGATGTAAGGATGTTTGGAGTCACTTCACGACTAGTTGGGGATATTAGTATAACTAGTGCAGCACAGTAGTTGGCTCGTGAGGTTTAGTTGCATTCTAGCGGCGTACATGAGCGGAAAAAAATATTACGAGTAAAACACAAACCTCACTAATAAGACATCTAGTACAGTAATAATAAACCAGTGCCACTTTTGAAGGTCAATTGTTGTACTGGTTTTAAATTACTTTATAGTGATATATCGTATAGTGTCGCTGGCACGCGTTAGTAGAGAAAAATAAAAAACTTGGAAGAGACAGTCTAGTGCACCTCCATTCTGCTAGTGTTTGGAACTGTACATCGACAATTCAGTATGCATGGAAAATTCAGTACTAGTAGGATGTTGAACAAATACTTTTAACATCTTAATCGAAAGTCCATAAATTAAAAAAATAAATGCTTGAACGGCTTTATAAGCCATTTGGGCCCTTATTCGATAAGAAAGCAACTAGTGCGTGACACATGCCGAGTGAGGAAAAAGAGAGTACAGTACTAGTACCTGAACCTTGAGCTTGAGATCAACAATGTGGAATAACTGATCCAACAGCTTTCCATGGTCATCCTCAGGAACGGATGATGCCCTTCCAACTCATGTAGCATCGCTGATTTTTTTCTAGATTTCCTAATTTTGAGTCATCACGTTTCTGAGTGTGTCAAATGTGCACAAGCTCATTTGAATAATTGTCTACTAAATTAACATATTCATGTTAATTCAAAAAGCTGAGAAACCCATTCACATCTTTTCCAACATAGCCGATAAAGATGCAAATTGAAATCATCAGACGGTGTAGTCTGATTTGCTTGAAAATGGCTCTGGATCTTCACCCAGCTTCGAAAATAATGGGTAGAGAAACTGGACATTGGGGGGGAGTTAATATAAATTACCATCTTCTAAGGACATTATAAAATTCTATTATGCAACATCTAGGTGTTAACTAATAGGACTAGTGTGCACATATGTTATATACTGCACAGTCTTGCCTCACTAGTAAGAAGTAGTTGTTGGGGCTGCCTAGTTGTTCTACTAATGTGCAGAAGAGCCACACAATAAAAAGATTTAAAAAAAAACGTTACTCATGAGACAATCTTCCTACTACTGAGCTCAATTGGCTTACTAGTGAGGACAAAGAGCATATGAATACATGGAAAACTCATTGCACTAGTAGGACCCATCCATCCAGCCATCCATCCATCCATCCATACGTCACAGGGTCACGGGTAGTTGCTGGTCTGCGATTGTCTGGCGACCAGTTCAGGGGGTAGTCCGCCTTCTGCCCGAAGTCAGCTGGGATAGACTCCCAACATCTCCCTGCAACCCTGTTCAGGATAAACGGTGTTAAAAATGGATGGATGGATGGATAGATGACTGCCATTCATCACATGCAGATGAAATACCGTCATTTGAATTCAGGTGAAATCTGATTTCTTTTTACAACAATGGCTCAATAGTAAGATAGCTACAGTTAGTAGTTAAACAATAAGGCGTACTCCTAGAATAACTAGGAGGCAAAACAGAACTAGTCCTATTAGTGAAGTGCAGATGTTAAGTAGTTGAATCTAATGTAAAACACTTGTAGCGCGTCGTTGTCAACTCGTGGTCACTGCCATTTTTAAACATTTATGCTTTTCAGGGTCCGCCCGATTATTCATCAGAATTCATGAAAAATATATTTTTGCTTACATGTTCTTTTTTTAATCTAACAAATAAAATATGTCATTCTGTTATTGTGACTGTATTGTCTTTTTCTGGTTTAATAAGTCAATTTCCATACACTTTATTACTTAAAGTTACTGAATGATAATTTTGTTACTGAGTAATAATAATTAAACTTCTCGTTTCTTCAGACATTTTCCTGGTAATAACCATCGTTTCTGGTGACTTGTATTTTAATATTTTAGTGAGACGATGAAATTTGAAAAAACATATTTGTACTTTTTTTTTTTTTGGAACCGTAACAGCTGTTCATATTTACATTCATTCACATGAGCCACATAAGAAAACAGGTGGAATTTGACATAGTGATTTTATCATAAATTATGCAAGAAAGGGAATGAAGAGACCAAAGAAAAATCACTGAACCTTGGGGGGATTTGACAATTTTTCATTTCTGTAAATAAATCCTCTGAATGACAGTATTTATACTTAGAAGTTGAGGGTTATGTTTATGTAATCAAACAAAAAAATGAATCGATTTTCCTAACGAGTTGTCGCGAGGGAGCCAATCCCACCTCTCTTCGAGCAGGAGACGGCGAACTAATCGCCAGTTAATTGCGGGTTACATAAGCGAACAACCATTCACACTCACGATGACACGTAGGGACAACCTAGAGTGTAACCTACCATGCATGTTATTGGAATGTGGGAGAAAACCGGAGTACCCGGAGAAAACACACACTGACAGGGGGAGACATACGAAACTCCACACAGGAAGGCCGGAGCCCGGAATCGAACCATGGCATGGACCTCTCTGTACTGTGAGGCGATGTGCTAACCAGTTTTCACCGTACCGCCCAACGACCGACCCTCCCAGCGAATTTATGGTGATAGGCTCTTCGCATTTTTTTCCAGGGTTTCAATAATATATCTAATCATGGAGAGAAAATTGTATGACACATTTTGAGCCAAAATCCACTTTAAATACCCATCCAGCATTTCCTAAAAGGTTATTGTTATATTCCAGTTATATTACAGTTTTTTTAGAATTTTAGAATGAATTTGGTCATTCTCAAAAAGCAATATATATCTATATTTTTTTAATCTCTTCACGACCTAATCCTTTTGTGTAAAACCATAACACATGACCGTGATTCCGATAAATACCGCGTACGGGACACTAGAAAAACTACATTTCCCATGTAAAAGTTTATTATGATGTATCATAGGGGTTGTAGTTTTTAGACTGGCTGAGCCGAGAGTTCAAGTGTGCGCCATAACATCATTTCCCATGAGGCCTCGCGCGGGTTTAAACCCGGAAGTGTGCAAGATTACTATTGACATGGTTGTTTTCATGCCAATCTCAGAGAGGAAAAAAAGTTACGTTGCTGCGAGCTCCTCCAATCTAACGAGTTCGTCTTGAAACATTTTAAAGACTTTTAAGAGCTTTAACACAACATTTCAGGCGAGGGGAAACAAAGCCAAGGTCGAGGTAAAGTTTCGCGCTCAACTTAAATTGCTACGATGTTGTGAGTTGTGCAAAATTCGCGTTGCGATTTACTGCTTGAAAACGGCTATTACACGTTAGCCTTTTGAGTGTCGTCTGCGTGTATAATTATCACAGTGCTAGAGAAAGAAGTGCTTGATCAAACTTGTCGATTATCAACGTTTTCTTGAGACGTCGGCTGTGCTTTGATAGCTTATGCGCTCAAATAGAGCGAAAACACGTAAAATGCGCTTTATTGAGGGAAAGCGCAGAAATGTACATGCAACTAGTTACTTTTGTGGTTGTGTGCGTGTGCCATGGACGTCACGAACGACAAAGTTTTGGAACGATCCATAATGTGATATTGAATACATTGCAACCAACACACTCAGTGTACAGAAATGTTGGCACGTTACCTCCGACGACCACACCCTTTTGGTGTGTTCACTTTTTTTTTTTTTTTTTTGAGGGGGGGGGGTATGGATACCTATTTGAGCATTTATTCCATATACTTGATATTCAATTGAAGGTCTATGTACTAGTATGCTCATTTTCCTCAATCGTAAGACAGTGCAGCGCACTAATACAGTCACTCTTTGTTACTAGTAATTAATAAAACTATAAGTGCCCATTTTGGCCTACTGGTACACAAAGTGCTGTGCAGCACTAGTAACACTACTCAGACCTACTAGTAGGTATGTGCCAGGCACTAGTAGCTTTTGAACCCACTAGTAGTACCAAATGGCACATTATTAGTTGTGATACAGTAGTGCAACTAAGGCAGTAGTGGTAAGAAAAAAAAAAGATAAATTACAGTTCGAATAAAACATAGTTGTTCTACCAGTGTGCACTTGTAATCCTATTAGTGCACTGAATTGTCTTAACTAGTGATGACAAGGAGCACACGAGCACGACTGTAATTGCTTTCCATAAAACCATTCAGTAGGTCCAAGTAATCGTCCACTCTTTGTCCTAGCGAGTAGGTCAACTTTGACATGTCACTAGTGAGGCAAATCTGCTTGACTTGACATACGTGTGCTACTAGTACTAGTACTGATATTCTAATATTTTACTGTTTAACATCCAGTGCCTCACTAGAAGTACTATCAGCGCAAAGACGTCAAATAGGTTACGGTTATGCCTCACTAGTTACATGCAGTTGACTGACTAGTATGCCAAAGTTATTTTGTTGCGCAGAAATGACATGCAGTGGTGAAACAATGTTAGCGAGATACATTTGTCCTACTGGTGTGCTGAATCGTCTTACTTGTTAGGAAGAGAGTGCACTAGTATATGGACCTGTATGCTTAATCATCTGTCAAAGCGAGAAAGCGCTCATATTCCTCCTGGTGGGAGCTGACTTGTTCCTCCGCAGAAGAGCCAACAACAAAGGAGCTCCTTGAAGGCCGTCGAGTTCACAGCGCGCCGCTTAGCCGGAAGCCAAACAGTGTGACACCCATCGGAGCATGCACGTTTACTAATTAATACAGAGCCACACATTGTAACCCTGTGTGGAAGTTGGCGTCACTGAGTGAGTGTAAATTCCATAACTAATTATATCTTGTCCAGAAGGCTTCCTAATGTTCGCCTTTTTATGGCGTCTGCTCCAGCCACTTTCAGGTTTATAAACAGGGAGCAAGGGACTAGTTTGTCGTTGACGTGCCCTGAACTTTGCCCTAGTAGCAACATGAATCTCATACAATATTGCCAATTGTAATGAACTTGTGACTTTATTCACAATTAGTCACACGAAATCCATTATCTATACACCGATATAAAATCAGCTATGAAACAATTAATCAAATAATTCAATTACAAAAAAAAGTTTAAGCAAAATCTCCTAGCAGTGATCTTTTTGCCACGTGGATTAATCTTAATGCTGACTCCCACGTCACTCACCAAACTAGGCTCCATCTTTTCAAGCCACACACATTCAAAGTCACGGATCGTAGCATGGAACGTGAGGATAGTGACCCAAAGTGGGCAAAAATAATACCTGTAACTCACATGACAATATATAATGACTAAAATAACTTGGCAACAATAAAAATATGAATTGCAGCAAAAACATTTGACAGTTTTGCAATACTTGTAATCCCTTGAGAATTTCTTAAACTTTACAATTGAGAGAAAAATTGGCAAACATTGTCAGTTTTTATTTTAGACTTAATTTTTTTTTTTTTAGAATATTTATTACACTTTATTGTATTTGTCTATTGTTGTAATGTGTTTTTGCAGGTTTTAAAAGGCTTAATATCATCTGAATGACTCATGATGATGTGGTTGTTCCCACAGGCAGCAGCAATGGGGAGCCAACCAGGCCCAGTTCAGATCGTGACAGTGTGCAAGGAGGATCACTCCTTCACGCTGGACGAGGAAGCACTCGCACGTGTCCTCTTGGCTGCGGGCGTGCGAGACAAGCACGTGGTGGTCCTGTCGGTGGCTGGCGCCTTCAGGAAGGGCAAGAGCTTTCTGCTGGACTTCATGTTAAGATACATGTACAGAAAAGTGAGTGACGGCAGAGCTCGCGGCATCCAAGATTTTTCCATTGAGAACCGTCGACGGGAAATGCTCAAAATAGGCCCGGGGGCCACTTTGATATTTGTCACTTTTTGTTGATTCAATGTGCTACAACCAGTCTGCTGTAGGTCAACAATAGTTAAAGTCCCTGTGAAGTGGAATTTGTATGACAAACAAAAAATATCAGCGAATGCTAAAAAGGAGTCTTCAAAATCGTGAAAAATCAACCGTTCTCTCCGTTGAATGCACTGAAACCATGTCCCACCTCTCAAGTGTCAATCAAATCTCACTGCTGCCATTTGAAAAAATGGATGCTACTTGGTATAGCATCGTTTGTATGCCTACACATAATCAAATGTTTGCCCCATGGAAATATATTCGCTTGACAGCACAG